CAGTGCAGTGCAACCCAGCCCCTCTGGGGAGCGAGAGAAGGATCGATGTGGAAGGACCCCCAGGCCCATCCCCACGCCCACCTCCTCCCTCCTTCCCCTGGTCCTGTGGACGCAGAGTCCTCCAGCCTTGCAGGTGGCCCCTCTCACAAGGGCAAAGCCTGGGCACATGAACAGCCCTCCCCTGCCCTTTCAGGCGGCTGAAGGCCACAGCAAAGCTGGAGGCAGGCCTGTCACCCTGTTTGTAGAGGGGAGCAGAGGCCCAGATGTGGGGGCGTCTTGGTCTAGACCTCCGGCACAGCCTCAACCCACAGGTCAGCAAGCCCTGCTCACTAGCCACAGCCCTGGGCCTGTGCGGCTACGTGTGTGTGGTCACTGCCCCCGCCTAGGGCCTTCCCCACACCCCCCATGGGACTCCCAGTTACCTCGTTCCCTCCTCCTTGGTGCCCCCGCACCCAGAGACCCCCTGGACCCTCTGAAACCTCCCCAACGGGGTATTCTCTGAGGCTGTGCGAGAAGTGGTGACACCCCGGAGAAAGGAGGTCACTGCCCCCGCCTAGGGCCTTCCCCACCCCCCATGGGACTCCCAGTTACCTCGTCCCCTCCTCCTTGGTGCCCCCGCACCCAGAGACCCCCTGGGCCCGCTGAAACCTCCCCAACGGGGTATTCTCTGAGGCTGTACGAGAAGTGGTGACACCCCGGAGAAAGGAGCGGGGCGGGTGGGCCCCGGTCCAGCTGTGGGGATGGGAGTCCCCATCAGCTCCGGGCACCCTGACAGCCGCCTCGGAGAGACCTCCAATGCACCCAAGGCTCCAGGACTAACCTCCGGGGAGGGGGAAGGGCGGAGATGGGAGGCGGAGGCCGGGGACCTCTCTGGAGTGGAGGTGCCAGCCCAGCGATAGGGCTTCAAGCCAATGACAGGAGCCGAGGGTCCCTTTTACCTGAGGGCTCCGGGCCGCGATCAGGCCCCGCCGCCGCGGTCGCCCATCCGCAGCCGCTGGTGCGCGGACCCGGCACAGACCGCGGGACTCCGGCCTCCAGCGCCTGGGGCAGGCGGCCGGCTCCGCGGAAATGAAGGGTCAGAGGGGAAGGCGAGAGGCGGTCAGCGAGCCGGACCCACCGGCTCCCGGGACGCCGTGAGGCTCCTCCTCGCAGCGGCGACCCGGAAGGAAGGCGCGTCCTTTTAGTTCAGCCAAAACTGCAAAAACAGCCACAGTCCTTCCTCGGAGCATTGGGACCCGCCCCAGCCCCCAAGAGCCTATAGGAATGGTGCTTCGTAGCGGAAAGAGCCAATCAGGTGCCAAGTGGGCGGGGACCTCTGACCTCAAAGGCAGAGTCCAGGCGGGGGCCGGAAGCCGCCGCGGGGAGGAGCCCCAGCAGCGTCTCCACGCACCTGAATGACGCGTTTCCACCGGCGTCCACGCGGCCCCGGCAGCCTCCATCAAATCGCACTGGCATTCTTGAGCTTCGTCCACGTTCCAGGCGCTAATTTTCACAACAACCTTGCAGGGAGGTTATTACTAGTCGCATTTTACGGAGGAGGAACTTGAGGCTCAGAGACGTTAAATAACTTGTTCAAAGCCACACAACCAGGAAACGACAAAGCTTAGCCGCTCTGCTTTGAACTGCCTCCGCTCGCATTTCTAACTGCAGCAGTTCTTCAGGTAACTTCCTCAATGAAGCCTTCCCGGCATCTGTGCTGTGTTCTCTCCTGGCTCTTCTCACGCTGGCCCCTCACAGCCCGCCTTCCGAGTC